CTCCAGATTCGTGCCGCGGGCAGCGCCTGTGCGGACCCGAAGTCCTGCGCTGTCGGCATCATGAACATCATCTCTTCCTTTGCCTGGATCTCCCAGTTCACGGCCCTCGCTGTCTCGGATTGCCAAGTGGGTGCCGACCAGAAGGCTCTGTGCACAGCGGAAGCTTAGTAGCAAAGGAGTTATGATTTCTGGGGATTGTTTACAACATGCTTTCACCCTAAACCCTAAACCCACTGAGAGGCTAAGTCCTAAGTTTTGTCGGGCCTATGAACGGAGCGACTAAGGACATTTCGGACATGGTGGCTGCGCTCACCAACGGCCCGGCTGCCGGCATCGCCTCCACCTCGGACTGTGCCGACCTCTAAGGCGCTGAAGAGCGGTGAAGGAGATGTAATACAGGGGCTTGAATAATACCCAAAGCCCCTGTATTAAGATTTTGACGTAAAATCGTCACTTGAGCTGCGGCCTGATGAAGGCTGTCGTTGGGCCCCCGCTCAGGAACCGGTGTGCACTACGCTCACCGGGTTCCGGAGAGGCTCTCGCAGGCTAACCTGTGGGCGAGCGCCTCTCGCGATTTCGGGCCAGCAGAGAAAAGTGAGAAGTCTTTACATCACTAAACCGTAATTGCTTGATGGACTGTTGGCCCCACCCGTTTTGCGAGCTAGATCAGGGTGGCTCTGCAGCATGTCTGTAGCAAGTTGTCAGGCCGTATCAGATGGGTCCTTATACCAGTGAGTCCAACCAAACTCACACTCAAGCCAGTAGGCCTAGGCAGAAAGCGTTGCAGATTGGAAGATCTCAGATCTCACTTGTGTCAGCTGCCAGCTCTGCAGAGCGCACCTCCCTTGCACATGAAAGTTTCTTGCCACTGTCAGTGTCGCACGCCCGGAAAACATCAACGTGTTGAGGAGACTGCAACTCAGCTGCTGAGGGACAACATCCTGCATCGCGTTACGCACGCTAAACTTTAGTAACTATGGGCTATGGGAGTAATCATGTATTCCTTACCTCCTATGGATGAGACAGGATTCTGTCCATCGGCAGTAGGGTTGGGGGGTCGATCCTGCTAGTGCTTCCGGACACTTTTTGCACGATGGTGAAGTCATTATTCACTATTCGAGGCCCTTGTCTTCTCAGTGGGAGGCCTGCCATGTGCTTCTATCTTGGCCTGAAACCATGAACCCTAATCCCCAAAGCCAAGAGTGTTGTTGCTGGAGAGCTTGACACAGGCCGACCCTTGGTCTCCACTGTCTGTCTCTCTCTCTCTCTCTCTCTCTGTCTCTCTCTGTCTCTCCGTCTCTCTCTCTCTCTCTCTCTCTCTCTCTCTCTCTTACGGCAATCTATCTCTCTCTCATCTCTCCCGCTCTCATCTCACTCTCTCTGTTTCTCTTTCTTTCTCTCTCTGTCGCTGCCCCTCTCCCGCTTTCTCTGTCTCTGTCTCTCTCTCTCTCTCTCTCTCCCCCTCCCTCTCCTCTGCCTCCGTGACCCTACATCCTGACCCCGTAAAGCCCTCCCTCGCCGTCACGTGGTGAGACCAGGAACGCTGCGGCTTCTTCAACGGGCGGCGGAGATGGTGGAGCCTTGCTGGGGATTTGCGAAAACGGAGGTTTCGATAGCTGGTTTTAGGGTTTAGGGTATAGGGTTTAGGGTTTAGGGTTTCTCTGATCTTCGAGTCCTGCAGCTAAACCCGAAACCATCAAGACGAGCAAACAGAGGGCGCCAGGCATGGTGTGTCAGTGCCGATATATGTGGGTCTTCATGGTTGCAACTCTGGACCTCAGGCACCCAGCATACAGGATAAGAGGGAATCGTGTTACGAACCTCCAAATTTTTCGGGTTTACCGGCCCTACACAATTTCCAGGAACCTCCTTGACGTCATCTGCGTAACCATGATGTCTTTGGCGCTGGTACAGGCCGGCAGTCAATGAGGATGTGTTCTAGGTATCGATTTGGGACAAGGGTTATTTCCCTTGTTGTTTCATATAGAGCCCTAAATAGAGACAGCTTTGGGGACTGTTGAAATCGACGCCCAGTGCTAGTTGGGATCGAAGATTGAGGGTTTGCGGCAGCAGCCTGCCGTGAGACTGTAAATCCTCAGCCTTATCAGGGGTACTTTAAGGGTACTACAATCCTATAGGGGCATGATACGGGTACTATGATACTATAAGAGGTACCATAAGGGCACTATGAGGGTACTATATTGGGGGATTTTTTGCCAACTCTCCAAAGACTGCCCTGACCCGAGGCTTCCGCAGCCAAACTTGGAAGCCTAAACCCTTTAGCCAGTTTGGCCACGAGGACGTAGGGTTGGCTCCGGTGTAAAGGAGCCGCCTGAATAATTGCTAACAGCATTCCTGAGGGTTCCTTACTATGATGATACGGTAAAGGAGCCCACAACCCTATTCTAAGTATTCAGGCCCCTACATTAGTTTTGAGTCCGGCATGCTCTCTGTGCAACTGTAGCCCGCCATGTCCGAAGCCCTCTTGCAATTATTTAGGGTTTAGAGTTTGGGGTTTTCTTCCAGCCCTGTCACACCCTGTAGAGCCACACGAAACAAAAGCGTAACGCCTTGCGAAGCCCAGGCCAGAGCCTCATGCCAATCCTAAAGATCAGCATAGCTGAAAACCTCTCCATCTTAATATACTAGAACACATACTATAGTATGCCATAGTATAGACAACAGTATATACTTTCATATATATATATATACATACATATGTATATACATATATACA